TTTTATTTAGGCATAATGAGTGCTAAAAACATGCCAGTGGATGCACAGTATGTGCATGTAGTTATGAGAAGCACCTCCAATAGCAAGGAAGTGTGACTAGAAAAGTGTGACACTTCAATGCGTTGTTGAGTTTATGGCCATGTTGTTTTACCCTATAACTATTGTATTTCAAACCCATTTGGACACCACTTGAAGACTATAATCAAATATAGATAGTGGGTCAATATCTACAATAGAGTATAGACAGGTTGTTTAGAGAGGTCCCTACAGGAAGAAAAACATATTCCTGAAAATTAGTCACCTCCAAAATTAGGGGAAAATCTAGTCTAAATGACAGGGGTGCCAGTTAAGATTGAGTACACAGTGAAGGAAATGTTTTGAAATGTCCTTTTACTTGTGGAAAAACCTGAATGTGAGTTGAATTCAGCCAATAGATTTAGCAGCAAAAGTGTCTTGATATCCTTATGACTAGGTTTTTGGGGGTTTGGGGTTTGTTTCTTTTTTAACTATTTGTAAGATACATGGTTAATAGTTCCCTCTATTTACTTTGTTATATGAATAACCAAAGTAACCACTGACTAAAAAAATTGTAATCAGCCATTATGTCTTGCACAACACTTTTGTTATGTAATAATCCCAGGGATGAATGGTTAATGGTACCTATCAATTAAAACAAATAGGAAAAAGCCTAACAACTAAACATTATGTGGTAATACAGATGAAATATGTTTTGTCCAAGAATTATTTGTGTGTGGGAAAGGAACAGGCATGTTTCCTTGGCTCAGCAATATGAGTGTAAGCTCTGTAGGAACATGATGGTAACTAATAAATGTAGTTATTAGTCCAAGTCCCATGCTGCATGGGGTATATGGATAATCCTTTACATAGTCAGAGTCTCACTACACACACTGCTTCATCAGACCAACCCCATCTAACCCTCAGTAACCCTCATGTCATTCTGTACAAGCCTGTTTTAGAGCATTTCCAGTTTTCAGCTTAAATCAGAAAGAGGCAATTGTAATGCTAATTACAATAGGGTCCCAACTCTAATTAGCAATGACCATACAAGAGAGACCAGGATTATCATCCAAGTGCAATCTTTACACTATTAAAATGATTGATTGTTAGAAATTGGTGGCAGTAAATGGGGCAAGAATTTTTGCCGCTGATTCAGGTTAAGCAGCAAGCATGGCCAATGACAACTCGTTCTAAAGCCTGTTCAAAGGCTAGCATGCTCTCTGCAGGAGAAGCACACCAATTCCATTACCGTTGGAACCTTCTGGCATTCTTCTTGCTTGCAGCAAGATTGGAATATACGTAGGCATGCTTCTATATGTTTATCTCTTTTCTATTGCAGGAATTATGATGTGGAACAATGGAAGAGGTGTCTACTCCAGATATGTAGCCTGTTTTTTTCTTCTGCATATGTTCGTCACAAAGGCAGTGCCTGAAGATGACACTATAGTTACTACTAAGAAAGGAAAAATAAGAGGGATCAACTTGCCCGTACTTGGGGGAACTGTGACAGCCTTTCTTGGAATTCCATATGGAAAGCCACCAATTGGTAGACTGAGATTCAAAAAACCAGAACCCCGTGAGAAATGGTCAGAGACTTGGGATGCCACAAAACATGCAAATTCTTGTTATCAGAATATAGACAAAACGTTCCCTGGGTTCCCTGGATCAGAGATGTGGAATCCAAAAACTAATCTTAGTGAAGACTGCTTATACCTTAATGTATGGGTTCCTTCTCCCAGAACCAAAAATGCAACTGTCATGGTATGGATCTATGGAGGTAGCTTTCAATCAGGGACATCTTCTTTGCCTGTCTATGATGGCAAGTTTCTGGCCCGGGTTGAACGAGTCATCGTAGTTTCAATGAACTACCGAGTAGGTGCATTAGGATTTTTGGCTTTACCAGGAAATGAGGAAGCTCCAGGAAATGCGGGATTATTTGATCAAAGGTTAGCACTTCAGTGGGTTCAAGAGAATATAGCAGCGTTTGGTGGCAATCCAAAAAGTGTGACTTTATTTGGAGAGAGTGCTGGAGCTGCTTGTGTCAACTACCATCTCCTTTCCCCTAAAAGCCATCCCCTCTTCACAAGAGCCATCATGCAGAGCGGCTCTGCTAATGCCCCATGGGGCGCAATAACATGTTCTGAGGCGAGGAATGGAACTTTGACCTTCGCTGAACTTCTCCACTGTTCTGCCAACAATGAGACCGATATAATTCTCTGTCTCCAAAACAAGGATCCTGAGGACATACTTGAGGGTGAAGTTTTCATTTCAACACACAACTATATTGTAAAAGTATCTTTCTGTCCAACAGTCGATGGTGATTTTCTTACAGACATGCCAGAAACATTGATGCAACGTGGCATTCTTAAACAAACACAGATCTTATTGGGAGTTAACAAAGATGAAGGGTCAGCTTTTCTAGTGTATGGGGCACCTGGTTTCAGCAAAGATAACGATAGCTTGATTAATAGGACAGAATTTCAAGCAGGTTTAAGGCTGTTCTTTCCAGAAGCAAGTGAACTTGCCATAGAATCAATCATTTTTCACTACACAGACCTGGAAGATGAGCAGAAGCCTGAACTTTATCGTGATGCCATGGATGATGTTGTTGGAGATTACAGTTTCATATGTCCTATAGTAGAGTTCACAAAAAAGTTTGTTCAGTTAGGAAACAATGCCTTTTTATACTTCTTCGAACATCAGTCTTCAAAACTTGCCTGGCCAAAGTGGATGGGAGCAATGCATGGTTATGAGATTGAGTTCGTATTTGGGTTGCCTCTAGAAAGAAGAGTTAATTATACCAAAGCTGAAGAAATGTTGAGTAGATCCATATTGAGATACTGGGCGAGCTTTGCAAAAACGGGGTAAGTTTATGTTTGGCTAGTTCCTTTTATTCCACATGCCTAAACTAAAAAGGATGAACCTGTTGGCCATGACTTGTATCCTAGTGAAAGCTATGATTAATTGTCCAGTTAGCCAGAATTTCTGTTATCTCATTACTGATTAAAAACAGTGTCTCAGTAAAATAAATCATTGAAATGTATCTGACTGTACAAACTGAACTTAAGAAAACACTGTGTACCCTTTAAAGTTGTTAGTCATCTGCCACCTATCCAGGCATACACAAAACATTTTTGCTGTGGTAGCAGATGTAAGTGAAGGCAACAATTTCAAATATAAAAAAATAATATCTGCAGTTCTGGAACAGACTTCCATTAGTAATGGGAACAAAAAAATCCAAACCATTTTTTTTTAAATGGAGGTTGATTAGTTCATGAAAGGGCTTATATGATGTGCTTGCCTGCAGTAGTAGGGATATACACACAATGACTTGGGAGGTCCCTTCCAGTCCTATTTTTTTCTATATTCACTTCTCTTGTATAAATGCAATCTGGTGATCACTGAAGTTGATGGCAAATCTTCTGTTGAACACACTGGGACTCCCCCTCAGAGTAAAATTTACCTTAGCTGATACAAAACTCAAATACATTAACTTAATACGGGGCACTAAATGGGACTTTGGCATTTGAAATCAAACCCTTTCTACTCAAGCTCATAGGGACCTGAAGTAGAAGAGAGAGCCCTTTTATTATGTAGGGATTCTCTGTTGCTGTAATAATGTAAGACTTGTATTGAAACCAATAAATATCCTTCACATTTGGGGATGCTTTACACTATCATACATATGCTACATGGCTATTACCAGGTCCATACAGAGTTAGGTTTAATATTACAATTCTAGTGGAATATTGAGACTGAAGCCTTGCCTTCTGGTTATTCCACTCATTTACTTTACTTCAGGGAGAAAAAAATCCATATTGCAAATAAAAGTACCCAAGATAATGTTCAGTTAAACATTCAATGTATAACCCATTTAGAAGTATTTTATTTGTTTTTGAATGCTTATATTAAATTTGAATTCTCAGATGAATATTTTTTTCAATGAAAAAAAATCCTGATACAAAATTTATTAGGTCAATAGAAGATTCCCACTGATTTCCATCAACTATGTATGAACCCCCACCTGTACTTCGCAGTGGTGTACCAATGCGGGGGGGGGGGCAGAGGGAACTATGCCCCTGGGTGATGGCCGGGGGAGGGGCACCTGTTGGGCCTGCCAGGGGGTACTTGCTCCCCTGGCGGCACTTCCAGTTCTGCTGCCAGCACTTCTGTTTCCACCACTGGCACTGGGGGATCCGCCCCCCCCCACCTGTGGGGGGGGAGGGCCTCAAATGCAAGTATTGGCCCCCAGGTGCTGGAGACCCACAGTATGCCACTGGTTCTTCATTCATACATTAATAGGTCTGTAGATTGAAATTTGAGAGGCAACCCATAAGGATCATTGACTGTTGTCTCCTGTGCAATACAGGCCATGGGATATTCCCTGAATGTATTTTCTAAATAGAATACATCTTTTAGAAAAACTCCTAATACCGATTTTAAACAGGGGTCCTCAACTTACAGTCCCGAGGCCAGCCCCAGCCCACAAAGAAGTCTGCTCCAGAGAGCAGAGGTCTGAGTCCACTGTGCTGCCCCTCCACTCCATAGCATTTCCTTCTGCTGTGAAGCCTGCTGCTTACCCTTGCTTCAGAGGGGCAGGGAATCTAGCAGACAGCCACTCCGAGTGTGGGGAAGGGATGGATACTTCCAGCCTATGACAGCATCTGGGTTGTGAGCTCCTGCCCACACCAGCAAAAGGCTGTTGATCCCGATTTAAAATCTTCTATTGAATATCTCCATTGAAGGATAATCCACCACAACCCTTGGTATGTTATTCCACATGTTAATTGTCTTTACTATAAAAAATGTTCAGCTACTTGGAAGCTGAATTTGTCTAGTTTCAGATTCAGCCATTGAGCCTTTTGATATCTTTGTCTCATCAACTGAGGAGCCCATTATAAAAATTGTGTTCCTTGTGTAAGTGCTTACAGACTGTGCTCAAATAAACCTTTAACCTTTTCTTTGTTGAAGATTCAAGGAGCTCAATCAATGAAGTTTCACTATAAGGCATGCTTTCTAGTCCTTTAAGTATTGTTGTATTCACTGTCTCCAATTTATCAGTGCCCTTTTTTTTTGTTATGGGCAGCAAAAATAGGCCCAGCAAAAAGGCACATCTGTATTATATACAGGAGTCCTATATAACTCCCTACTCCTACTCAATATTATCCTTTTTATATATCCAACTATCACATTATCTTTTGACCTTTTTGAGCAAAAGTCCAGCTGATTACTTGCCAGAATTCCCAAAGTTTTTCAGAGTCACTCTCCCAAAAGAGTCCCCCATTTTTAAAGTATGGCCTTCCTTCTTTGTTCCTAGATGTGTGAATTGACAGGTGATCATTTTATCAAGCATATAGCTAGCTCATGACCACTTTACCAATTACTCAGATTGCTCTATTTCAATAACCTGTTCTCTTTGCTTTTCATAACTTGCCCACTCTGTCATCTGTAATCGGTTGAGCCTTCCATTTTGCTCATATTGCTTAATTAGAGATCTATTTCTATTCAGGAAGTTTACCCCATCTTTCTCTCTCCATATCATTCTTTTAACTGGATAATTTCTTCAATGGGTATTTAAAAAGACAGTAATAATTGATTTGGAAAAATACATTTAATAGTCCTACTTTTTACTTTGTTTTCTTATGTCCTGAGGTGAACTAACAATTTATCCTTAAATGTATCATTCCATTAACATTTTTTTTGTGTCAAAGCTATAATTTAGCTTAATGAATGGAAAATTAATATAAGTAAGAACTCTATAGTTTCAGACTATATAGAGTCTGTAATGTATTTCATTTTTTTTGCATACAGTTAAGGGCTATTTTAAGAATTAATGTTACATACAATGTGTTGAAAAATGTGGTCTTCAAATGCTATTCTAGTATTTTAGTCTTTTTATATTATTGAAACATTAATATAAGGGCTCCTTGTATAAAAAAATCCTTTTGTTTTTATTAGCAGTTTAATGACAGTGCTCTATATGTATTTTAGGGAATTGGATCACTTGCAATGAGGCATTTTTAGCAATAGGATGTATTGCAGAAACAGGAATACATTTGATCATTGTATTTGGAGCATTTAGTCATGTTATTTTTTACTCCCATGCATTTTGGACAATTGATTCCTGAAATAAAGCCTATGCAGTGAAAGCAGCTAAAACTTAGTAACCATTCATGCAGAAAGGGCAGATCCAATCGGTGGAGATGCAGCCCTCAGAAAGAAAGACTGAGCTGGAAATCTTTGAGATTCTGCAGTTTTTATAAACCTTCCCATGAGCATGTATTTTTCACCATGATCATAACATTGTTGATCTTTCCTATTTAAATAAATACATGTATTTGGCTAGAAATAAGCTCTGTTTGGAAACAGGATTTTCAGTACAATATTTCATTCTATTCTTTTTTAATGGATATGGTCTTAACCATGAACTACAATCTCTATTCTATTGTTTTTCAGTGCCTGACTAAATATGAAATTACAGTGATAAGGGCATAGTACAAGTTAAAATTAAATAACATAAGGTGTATGCAAGTTTAAGTTTATGAAAGACTGCCAGCCTGTTGTGTGGTCATCTAGTCTGATTATCATTTTGGACTATAATTAGATTAGCTGGCAGATAGAATTTCAAGTGGTTTCCACAGCAAACAGCAAATACTCACTATCTGATTCTGCCACAAATATTGAAAACATGACTATTTATGGTAGCTAATACATCCACACAATCCTAAATATCAACAAAATGATCAGATCAGTGTGTTCTTTACTAAATTAACAGATTAAAAGCCACTCTCTTCATAAACAAGAGCATAAATCTTCTCACTGGACATATATCCAGGAGTGCATTCTCCATAGTTTATATATAGTAGAGAAAAAAATATATGTTGATTGTCAAAATAAGAATTAACTACCCTCTTTCTGTCATGTCTGAATATACAGTAGAGATTTATAAAGACACGTAAGAGCTTTTATAGTAAATCCAAGGGCAATCAAAAGGTTAGTATCTGTG